TTCCAAAAACCCAGAGGGAAGAGGAGACGCCAGAGGGTCCCCCACAGGGAGAACCCCACGAGCAAGTCGTACATAGGTTAATCGTCCATGGTGTTAGGTGCACGAGAGGGACTGTCCCAATCCTCACCACTTAGACCTACCCTCTAACTGACACGACCTACTGACTCAATCTAAGGACCACAGAATCCGGACAGGATCCTGTCAACTAGGGTCTCTAGTCTAAACCTACTCTAAGGCTGTCACTACAGGACCATATGCTGATCAGGAGGCATTTAAGGAGATCCCCCGTAACTCCTCAGGAATTATTTAACGCCGCAGACAAGACGATGCGATCAGCAAGTCCTCTCAAGACTTAGACGGCCTGTTGCGCAGCCCACAGCTCGGATTTTGGGCCTATCGTGCCACACCGAGCAGCCCGCCGGTCAGTACCGGTCCGTGGGAGGGTTTGTGTCCTCCGGGACAGTCGAGTCGTCAGACACAATGCAGAAAGAAGAGACACACAGACTTGACTCAACCAGTACCACACGGTGTGTGCACATCCATAGGGCGAGGGGGTTTGGCGAGATTATACCAGCTCCAGCTTGGTCAAATTTGTGGTCAACAATCTTGGTCAACGCCTTGGTCAACGCCCGATCAATGCTGCAATCAAACCCCGATCAACTCCCGGTCAACATTTGTCAACCCCGATCAACGCCCGATCAACGCCCGATCAACGCCCGATCAACGCCCGGTCAACTCTCCTGGTCAACCCCCGGTCAGCTATGGCGGCCGACTTTTTCTTCCTCACCACCCTTCTCCTTCCTTTCTCCTTCCTCGCCTCCTTTCTCTTCCCCCCGCCAGTCTTCTTTCTCTCCTTTTTTTTTTTTTTTTTTTTTTTCGCCTCTCCTTTCTCCTCCTCGGCTATGGCTTCCTTCACCCTCCTTGGTCTCCTCCTATGTCCTCTCTTTCACCCTTTTCGCTACTCTGTGGTCGAGCTCCGCGGCTATGGCCGCCTCTCACTTTGTGGGAGCTGCACGGCACACTTCACAGGTACGTGACAGCCAAACTTGTATCCATCATCTCTCTCTCTCTCTCTCTCTCTCTCTCTCTCTCTCTCTCTCTCTCTCTCTCTCCTCTTCGTCGTGGTCTTCTTTGCAGGTGCGTGCCGCGGCTTATTCAACCTTCGGATCCCCTATGGCGAACTTCCTCTATGATGGCGACCTCCATTGTGGCGCGTAACTCTCCCTGTGACACACGACGTCGCGCGTGGAATAGTGGGTACCAGCTCCGATACCAATGCAATCAGACTCGCTCTCATTCACACTTCGCATGCATGCAAACAGGTGTGCAGCAAACTGGCGACGAGCGCCCCTCAAAACTCAGAGATATGGCAACCAAAACACAGCTCAGATACAAGTTCACTTCAGATGGCTATGGCGTCACAGCACCCACACAACTCTCTGTTCGCACACACAGGATCACCCTGGATATCCCACACACGATACTTTGTACACACACACACACACACGCTGAACTCTATCTACAGCTATGGCGGCGATGACCGCTGCTACCCTATCGCTATGGCTACGCTCCTTCTCTCTCGCCCACTTCGGCTTTGGGCTCAATGCAAACCACCTACAACAAGTCGCTGTGGCAGCGCTTCTGCATGGCTCACGCAGGAATGAATGAATGACTGGGCGCTGTGGCAGCTTGTTGCTGTTGTAATGACAACGAAACTTCACAGGAACTCCAATGATAGCAACCAAGCCAATAGCAAGTCAACGCAGGAGAAGAAGATGATAACAACAGGACAGACACACGACATGAGAGGAGAGGAGAAGGTAAGAAGACAAAGAAAATCAGGTCAAGTAATCCCGAACGCGACGTTTTTTAACACTCCGACCCGACCGGTTTCGGCTGGCCGCCAATGCCAGCACTCATCAGGGGTCTGTCGGTACAAACTAATCTGACTGATTCTATTCTATTTATGGATGGACAACTACAAAGTCTAGGACTAGTAATGTAGGTACTACCTAAAGGCCACATACATATTCTCAAAAACTCCAGAAAAAATCTAGCTACATTGTCTTAGAAACCGCCTTCTTCAAAGTCATTGGTTCAAATACAATCCACCCTCAGCACCAGCCAGTACTAAAAAGAAAAAGAGAAGACCCAGTCGACAGATATCATGCCTACTGCGTCCAGAAAAGCAAAGTAACCCAACGTCACTCAATCAAATCCCATGAAAAGGCCAGAAAACCATTTAGTCCCCGTAAACCACCAATCTCACTGACCAGAGCTCAAACCCGAACCAACAACCATCAACATATCTAAGTTCACCATACTTCGACCAACGTTGCCAGGCCAGAAAGCCAGTAAACTCCTACAAATCCAAACCTCTTACTATCATGGGATCAAGGCCCCAGGGACCGACAGAATCTGTCCCATCCTGTCAACACGGGCAACCAGTGCTGCCATATCCCACCAAACTTACGTGAAAAATTATTCAGAGCGCTGTCAAACACTTCATCAGGATAAGAATGTTTCCACAAATGAATCTTCAAAGCAAAAAGAAAGGGAAGCTCAGTACCAGGAACAGTCGCAAAACGTCTAGCATGGTGCAGGAAGGAACCTACGACCGCAGCCTTCTGCTGCTTAATCGAGAAGGAGCAGTAGTCTTGGATGCTCTGAAATACCAATCTCTCCTTCACAGGCACGCGCTGGTTCTTATGGCAAAGAAAACTCACCACCTCACTTGTCTTATTAAAAATTATCAACACGCAGCCAAGATATTCCCAGCAGTCTCCGATATTAGTTTGCTCTAATATCAAGTTCTTATCGTAACTACTCTGGAACTTTTCCAAGATTTGCATAGCCCGACTCAACGAAGCATCGTCCTGCTTTCGCTACCTTACAAACACCGACACGTCATCAACAAGTCGAAATCCATGAAACAACGTCTTATCCAACCCCAAAGAAGAGAGAAAAAGGAACTCATTATAAGCACATAAAAGACATGCCAAAGCTGGGCTGGAGGACTTGCCCATCGGTATACCAACGTTCTGTTGCAACAAGCGACCGACAGCCATCACATATGTATTACGAAGCTCAAAATCAACAAACTTAAACAAAAGATGGAATTTCAAAACGATCCACCCTTCCTCCCCTCGCTTTTTAACAATCTTAGCCCCTTTCCCTCGTTTCTTAACTGCTACCGCCGTGTACTCCCGATGCTCCCAAAAGCCAATAGCCCAAGCGACCGCCTGCAGGATAGATGGGTGGGGGAGGTTCGAGAACATTTCTTTCACATCATATGAAGCCCCCACCAGTCCATCATTCTTCTTAACGTTCTTATTAACGCTCGTAATACCTGCGACCAGGTCTTCGGTGCACCGCAGGTTCAAGTTAGATCGCTCCGGTAGACTCCACAACATGCAATTGACAGCTTTAGAAACCAGCTTACCCCCAGCAGCGGAACATTCCGGGTATGAAGGGCAGATAGGTCGCCACCGATCAGTATCCTTAAACTTAGGTAGACAATAAGCTCGTCCAAACTCCCCATCAATCTTCCATTTCCCCACATTTTCCAAACCTTCATGCTTATAGGAGGCGGCTAATGACATAGGTATCCCCCATATTATGGTCCAAGGGACAACACACCAATTTTCGCAAAGAACCAAGAAAAGGTTGGACATCATCTTCATTAAAGGTAGGGACAGAGGAAGGTAGGTTGTCACCCAAACAGAAGCACGATTGAAGATCATTGAACACAGAAGAACAAGACTCGAGAGGAGGAAGGGAAGAATGGGAGTGGAAGGCTTCCAAATTCTTGCTATTCTTCATCCAAGTAGGAAAAGAGTCCAACTCCGAAATCCTAAAAGACATGTGCCCGTTGTGAGTGGGGAAGTTACCTTCAATCAACTCACAGCAACACACATCATCGCAACTTCTAGCATGCTTACAAAAATTATGCAGGCGATACCACACAACAGTACGATTACGAACCCACACAACACGCATGCGTCTAACCAAAACATCCTTCCATACCATCGGAATACCCAACCCCTGTATCAGCCGGGCACAGATCTTCCTCACTTCCGATTTCCTAATACAATCGTTGTATACCAACTTCACAACCAGCCGTTCACGAATTTGAACCCCAAATCTTGACGAGATGCTTTTGGAGAGAATGCAACGCAGTCGCCCCCGTGTTCGCTTCTCACTAAACGTACGAACTGCTGTAAATGCCACGACCAAAGACTCAAATGTCCAGGAACGAAGAAATACCCGAGAAGATGGAGAGCTAAGCAATTGAATGAGAGTTGGTTTACAAGCCAGCGATTTACTTAAGAAAGGAATAACAGACTCAACCGCGATAGTGACACCGGCTTTGATCCATGCACGAGCATGTCGAAACAAGCCACGACCAAAGGTGCAGAACACAATAGAACCCCCATAAGCACGACGCAACACCTTCCATGGATCAATAAACAACTCCCCACCTTGACATGTGACAGCAAAACGATGAATCGAATTCTCACGACATTCCTCAAGAATCGAGAGAAGACTACCAGAACTCCCACCGAAGCTCGGGAAAAAGGTAAGCAGCGACTTATTCTCCAAAAACGTAGAAACTGTCGAACACTGTTTACGTCTAGATTTCCTCAATCTCTCCCTTCGGCCGGGACGTGACCGTTTTGATCTCCTAGCTTTATCCCTAGTGTTTAACGACGGAGAAAATAATCGTATAAAAAACTTTTCACACGTCCTCACATCCTCTTCCGTAGACACACACAACGGGATAGCAACATACTTATGGGCTCCGCACCTACGCAACCATCTATACAGCCTTTCATTCCTACCCCCTTTGCCAATCAACTCAGCATTACATGCTCTATGCATGTGCTCTCCCAATTGCGTGTGCAAATCACGAGTAGTGCTCCCAATATATAAATGTCGACACCACGGAATAAACAAGGCATACACCAGAGGTCCATTCGCTGTTTCAAAGTCAAACTTACTCGGAGTCAAACAAAGAAGGAAACCACCCAACTTCACCCCCCAAGGTATCTGCCCCAACACAATCAATGACAGAACAGCCAAGCACAAAAGGGTATTGAGCAACCTACTTCGAATAAACTCGTTAAACATTAACCGAAGCTGAGCACAACAACGCAAAAGATTCCATAGCCACATCACGTCCGGGAACGAACTCACGAAGTGGTCAAATCATCGTTGACCTCGGTGCTGCCGTCGGTGCCCTGATCAGTCCCCTCAGTAACCTCGTGAATCAGCACCCCAACTTTCTTCAAGGTTCCGGCTCGGTTTTTGCCGAAAGCTACAGCAGCACGTTTAAGTGCCAATTCCTCCTTGGTCTTATCCAACGTAGAATAAGCAACCCCCTCCTTCGCGCAACAATCTTATCCTTCTTCAGCGGTTTCAACTTACGTCTCGTTTCAAGCATAAAGGCTTCCCGATCATTAGCCTCCACCGCCTGCGTAGCAGGACTCACCAGCCTCTTCCCTTGATCCGCAGTCGCCACAGCCACCTTGTCCAAGCGTGCCTTGAGGTTAGAAGCAGTCGGTGTGCGTCTCCCAACTTCCAACCGAACCATCTTTTCCTTCAAACGATCAACATCCTGCTCCGCCTCCCTTCGTCCGTTCAGCTCACGTAACCGCCATTCTCTCAACAGTTCAATTTCACGTTCCTGGTTCTCAACTTTCTCCTTCAACTTCAAATCTTCAACAGAGGGTGACAGGATCGGAGTCATCCTAGTACGAGTCCTTGTCCCAGGGACAGGGGTAGCAGTGACCGCAACGCTCCCTCGCTTATTGTCGGGTCGAAGTCACATTGAGTACGAGTACAGCAGCAGAGAACTGGTACGGGACTGGTCCCCGTACCGTACATGGAGCCGGTATAAGTACCGGTGACACGTACAGTACCAGGGGCATTTCTGCAAAGGCCCCGAGGGCAGAACTGAAAAATGCAGTATTTGAAATTGGCGCCCGAATTGCAGCATGGCGCCAGTTGTCCAAAATCCTACGGTACCAAAGGAGGGGTTTGGAAAAAGCGTGCCAGGCCGAAAACGGGATGCAGCTGAAACAGCAAAAGATAGACCAGGGATCGAGCCCTGGCGGAGTCCGTAACAGGGACTGCTGACTCAGCACGGCTAGACTCCACCACTTGCCCACTTGCCTCAGCCTAAACATGGGCAACTTCGAAAAGCCACTACTCGGACCTTCTGGAAGGCCGTAGACTTGGCCTTTCGATACTGTAGCAGCTACGACCTTGACCTTTCTGGACTCTAGCAGCTACGACCTTGACCTTTCGGGAAAGCTACAGCTACGACTTGTAGACCTGACTAAGACTCCTACTCGACAGGTGTACAGATCGAACCCCTGCTACCTATGGACCCTACGACAGTCGCAGGTCACGGGTTCAACTCTAGGGGTCGACACAGATACTGTACACAGGTAAGATGGGGACTAAGGATCGAGCCCTGGGATCTGCATCGGCAACTGCGAACTGGTGAATACCGTTTCATTTTTCTGTGATGTCCTTTTTCCATTCAGGGCGTTCTGTGTCTCGGCCCAGTTTTTTTTTTGTGCTGTCCATTCTTCTTTCACGGGTGTTTTGTCTCTCCTTCTCACACACACACACACACAAAGAAAAATAAGAGCCTGCACACCACACCCAAACGAAGTGCAGATGTGCTCACCTCACACACATTTTGAGCAGTGCGTGCACCGCACGCGCATCTACAGATTCACGCACCACATGCCGCACAGGTGCACCGCCACTAGGGTTTTGCTAGGACATGGAGAACAGTGTATTACACCAAGAGACAACCCAGTAAAATTGAATGAAGTATTGAAAAACACCTTTGATTCCAGTTGTAGTAAATCATCTGAGCAGACCAGCTAAGTTTTCAATAAGTTTTCCTTTTCTTTTTCAAAGAAAAAAACATCATCAATATGACTCAGCACATCCAGCTCTGTGAAAATGTGTAGATTAAATCATCTCCAGGACTTGATACACCCCGAAATGGCAACAGACAAAATGTGGCAGTTTAGTTATGGACAAGGCACCGGGATAGAGACAAAGAATCAGTGTAAAGATAGCTTCATTATACAAGTGCTTGAACAGAACATCCAGTTGTGCACGACAGTGTTGCAGCAATGGCACAAAACCATAACTCCTTCACTCCTGAACCACAATACACATGCTGAACAGGAAACCAGAGATGCAAGAGGGAGAAGCCCAGCTGCCAGAGCACCAAGGTGTTTAACCAGATGGTCAACAGATATTAATCGGTACCTTTACACAAACTGACAGTTTACCGCACTTGCCTTTCTCGTGAGCAGTCACTTTCTGCCTTGAAATGATAGACCTCAGATTCCATCACCGCCAGTTTCCTCCCCTGGGCCTCTGCGGTCAATACTGCATCCCTAAGATTTCCTTCAAGCTCCAACCGCTCAGAATTCCACCTCAATTCCATATCCATCTCTCTGCGTGTCATTTCCTCAAGCTCCCTTTGAACACCTTCCAGGCTGTGTACTGAGGTGCAGAGCTTCTGACTGAGGTCAGCGATGTGCTTCTTGTGGCTTTCCAATTCTTCCTCTAGACCAGTTACTCTCCTGTTTGCTTCATTCAACCTGCAGTGATTCCAAATCCCATCAGATTCTCAATTCGAGACACCGTGAACATTCAGGGGCCATGCTACTCTTCTCCGTATCGTTGCAATGTTGACGGATGTCCTTTATGTATTTATTCTCACATTATCCATCAACTTCAAAGTTCAAAAGCAGAAAACGACTAAAACCCAGAAGTTAAGTTCTTGGAGTCCTACTAAGGAAAAAATCAGGGTGTCTTCGCACAGACACTGGAAAATCTTTCGCCTAGACAAAAGCTTTGCAGAATTAGACTTCGACCGCAGAGAATGGCTACGGACACAAGTACCTTCCCCCAGAAGAATGGTTTTCGTTTTCTTTTTTATTAATTTGGACCATTTCTCGAGTTATGCATGTCATCCTTGCGCCGGGGCCATGCTAATCTTCTCTGTATCGTTCCAGTTTTGAAGGATGTCCCCAAGGACGAGAAGAATGGTTTTCCTAATGGATTACACAGTCCAATTCGGCTATGACTTTAGTCCCAAAACTGAAGACACCAGCTCAGAGATTGACAAAAGATGGAGAGGAATCCTCAACCTGGACTCCGATGGATTCATCACGATAGTGCCAAAAAATACCTCACCATAAAACCCACGAAAATCCGCACCCTACAATTGGTTGATCGCTTATGCCTCACTCCCTGTCAACCAATGGCTACACGAAATAAAGAAACACTCAGACCCTCATAAGCTCACAGGTCTGGGTGATGTGCACCATCAAACTACCAGAAGACATGACGCACTGCCTGCGACTCAGTTCTGACAACAAGAGTCAAAGAATTGTGGACAACCTTATTTACCTCCCCATGCCGCCTCTACCCCCACTTCATCCATTCTTCTCTACATTAAGATTCCCATTCCTCAACCTGGACTCCGATGGAGGAATCACGATAGCGCCAAAAAAAAGCTCACCATAAAACCATGGTAACCAACCGGACGTCCGGACAGGGTTCCAGACAGTCCGGAACAACATGTCCGGTGTCCGGTCTCCGGTCCTTGTGTCCGGATGGAGGCCCCCAGGGCAAAAATCGAAAAAAATAAAGGGGCGGCCCAGGACGTTTTTCGGGTCCTGGCCGCTCCTTGAAAAATAATGGGGTGATTTTCAGGGCCTAGAGTCCGGACACAAGACACTGCAGGTTTTTGGGGTGGCAGGTTTCACATAGGCGTGAGCAATTTCAAAGAGGCCGTTTCGATGTGCCACCCGCAGCTGCTGCCCATTGTAGACACACACACACA